CCTATATTGACTTTAAATATTTGGGAAAAAGGTAAAGAAAAGTCTGAAGAATTTTCAATCAAATAATTCAACAAGGTGACACTCCAGTAAAGTGGAGCAAAGGAATTATCCACTCAATCCCAAAACTAAAGAAATGAAAAAACAACCTGAATATTATTAGATTAATTACTTTACTTAATATAGGAAGAAAAATTTTTACAAAAATCTTAACTTATAGGCTAGCCAGGTATTATATATCAGGAAAAAAGAAATTCTATCAAAGTATAACTGAATTACACTTCCAAAAATAGCATATAAAACTCAATATATATAATCAGTGGCATAATAAAATATATAAAAGAAAATAAATAGCAGGTATAGATTCTCAGCCAGTATATATTCAAGGCATATAATTCAGTTAATATTAAAATGCTGACTCTAATCCTCAAAAGAATAAAGATTTCAGATCAAATAATTCAAATTTTAATCAACATCTTATACAATAGATAAAACTCTATAATTATATACTATGACTCAACAGAAGAATACAATATATAGGATAGAATAGATTAAGAAGACATAATATCTTCACTTTTGTAACAAATCCTTTATGATTCTCTCTTGATCATAATTATAAAAATACACAGGAGATATACAATAAATTAAAATATTGTGAAGACTTAAAATTGAGGGCGAAACTGCAAGACCATTAATATTGTCACTAGTGCCTATATGAATAATATAATATGGATCACTAGTAATCAGAAAGACTTATAACAAGTAATAAACACAATACAACAATTTTATTACATTAATGACATTCATGTGAATCCATCAAAATTACAACTGTTGATTATAAATAAAAGAGATATAAATTATGAACAAAAAGTCAAAATGAATAAGTTTAGAATGAAGAGCTGCAAACTGGGCATATCTGTAAGGTTCTTAGGAATATGGCATAATAGCTCTGGACAAAAAAAATATTAAAAAAACCTTATAGACCAAAAGATAAGTAAAGCTAAAACCCTAATAGGAATAAAAAAAGTGATGGACAAGCAGATGCAATATATCATCAACCATATCTTCATGCCAAATATAGAATATCTATACAAAGAAATCTGCAATTATCTAATAAGCAAAATAGTCACAACATATAAATATAAACTAGGTTTCGCAAACACAATCCCAAACAATATATTGTATAATAACCAGGAATATAATCTAATGTATTTGTGAAATAGATAAGTATTATTATATCTAAATAACTGAACAACTAGAATTATACTCAATAACACCATAGACAGCATTACTAAATATAGACTCTAATTACTATATAGTATATATTAGTCCACAAAATCAATCTTTACCAGTATGAGACATATATTCTTAGAACATGGTGTAAACTTTATATATAATATAATTTGATTACTAAGAATACTCAGCTTCAACTTCAAGCAAATAAAAATAAAAGTCTATCAGTAATTAAAAAGAATATCAAACCATTTAAGAAATCATAAGTGAGAGCTTTTATCAAAAACATTAAAGTAAGCTAAAAAAATACAAGCTATTCTTCACAAGTCAACTTCTCAATGAAGATGGACAAAAAACTTTACACTGGAATCAACTTATCAGAATCAATAAAACAGCAATAAAGTACCAATTCACATATGGTTCTTGGAGATAAAAAATAAACTAGATAAATAGTTAAACCTAGCAATATAACTAGTTGACTTCTCATATAATAGTTTTCTTTAATGAAAGTCAGATACAACAAACAATATTACAAGATCAAATTAAATTGAAACGGAAATCACAATTAAATAGTTATCAGTCAAAAGTAAAAGAAAATAAATATTGAATCTGTGATCTACAAACACTGCATATATATCTCAGAACAATTCCTACTTTTGAAATATCTAGGCTGTGATATTAACCAGTCGAACAATATTGAAGCTATCTATAATTTTGAAGCTACAAGATAAACAATAGTAGAAATCCTAGTCTATCGCAATAGAATCTCAATACACAATATCCAATTAACAAAGAATTAAACCTTAGAAGCTAAATATCACCAAACTCCCTATTATTGGGCCTGCTAGTATTAACACATTCACCTTATACAGAAAGAACTGGGATATAGAAACTGAAAATATTACAAAAAACTCACTACAAAACTATATATATAATTTTTATAATGTAGAGGAATCAATTATAAAGGAACTCTTAGATATTAGTTAAGAACTCCAGAACTATATATATTTTGAAATCTATACAGATAGCTCCATAAGCTGATACAATAAATAATATTATATAAAAGTAGAATAAACTCCAACAATCAATAACAACAGACATTTTAACTTCCAAGTTCAAGTCAAAAACTTTTTTCCTTAACTATAAATGAACCAATGGCTATCTTTATAGCTATTAGCACCTTTCCCTATTATAGCAGAGTGCAAATATATATAGATAACATGATAGCTATCAACTGTATTCAAAAAAATCAACAAGCTTACTATTATATAACATTACAAAAAACAAAAAAACTCAAATATCATACAACTAATCAAAGAAATCTACAAGCAAAGAAATATAAAGTTGAAGTTATTCAAAGTTCAAGTATATATATAAAACATACAAAATGAACTTGCAAATTAATTAACAAAAATTAATCTATAATGAGAAATAAGACTCAATACAAGAAACATTATATTCAAAATTAAAATTCTAAAAGAGATACATTTCTCTACATGATAAAATAAACAAAACTTGAAAATATCAATAAAAGAAACAATCATAAAAATTACACAAGTAGTTCACTTGGCTAAGTAGAGGCTCCTGAACAGAACTATAAACAATTTTTATGACTATTTAATTCAAAAAATCTACTTAATCACCACCTTCAAATACTTTTATATTACTAAAATAAGCAATTATACACAAATTAAGAGAATCAACAACAAAAAAATTTTTGTTAAGCTTTACACAAAAACTAAACTGCATTATAGAGTATCTTCAATCTACAAAGATAATTTATGCAACAATTGTGGAAAAATAAAGACAAATATATATTTCTTTATCTGCACTATATACAAGGCAATGATAAAATAACACATAATTAATAGCATTATTACAAATATTATTAGATACTCTATTAAGAGCCACACATCAAAATGGATAAACAAATTGAAGAAAAAAATGACATTTTATTATGAGAAATACCTGAAGTATGCAATTAGAAGTACTTTTCTCAAAGAAATATCTCAAATTATTTTGGAAGGCAATCCCAGAAAATGACACAGATATGACTGCTATATAGATATCAAAAAAGATATCACAAAATATCTTTAAGAGCTATAAAAAAACATTGCAAGATTTTCAACTCTGGAAAGCACAACAAGGTATTATCAAAAAAATAAAGAAAAAATGCAAATATATCAAACATAAAATTGAGCCATGGCTCAAAGAAAGAGAAGATCACATTAAAAATAATTCATATATTTATCAATAAATACATAAATAAAACCATCCAAAACATAACATCTTTTATTATCTTGGAATTATTATATAGCACTAGCCTTGGCAGGTTAGTATTCTTTGAAATAAGATGAAAACAAGTCATGAGGTAAATACAGTCACAAGACTGCTTCTTTATCAAACTATATTTGGTAAGCATAGATAGTTATAGCATCATATGTATATACCTACCACATTTCAAATAAAGTAAGATTGAGTCAGTGTTTAAAAAAAATTTTTTTTTAAATTATTGATTTATAGTTTTTCCAGAATTTTACTCTAATAAAATAAGAGATATCAATATGTTATTTAACAAGTAGCATAGGTAATTTGCAAAATTTATAGCTCCAAGTATATATAGTATAACTATTAAATAAATATTTTTTCTAAATGCAGAATTTTAAAAAATTTCTATATGATCCTGAGTGTTGAGAAAGAGTTGACTGTAACTTATTTAAAAAACTTGTTATATTTGTACAATAAAATTTTGAAGAAATTCTTAGAATTAGTTTGGCAAAACAATAAAATAAAACAATATATTAATTGCCAATATATACAGTAAATAAATAAAAAATTTAATAATTAAGCAAGTTAATTATTTATGTTCTAAGATTCTTAAGAAATTTCTTATTGATTTTATAATTTACATTTAAGTAAAAAAATTTGTTAAGTCAAGAAATAAAAAAAAATTTTTTTATATAATATAAAGTACAGTTACTATATACAGTAATTACCATTTCTTCCAGAGAATTATAATTACGTATTACTTCATTCTTTTAATCAAATACTAATAAACCAACTATAAGCTTGGAAATTTGATCACAAAAAGTTTACGTGTTGTTTCTCTTTCTATAACAGAGGCTGATATTTTGCTAGTGATCAAAATTTTCAATAGATAATCTAAATTCTTTATTCTTTTTTTCTGTATTTATCATGGCTTTGAAGCATGATATTGATCAAGATTGTTTTGAAAGCCTCAAACGATCGATAACTAAGTATAATTTAAACCAAGCCTCGACATTCATAGAAAAATGTGTTGCGGCTTTAAGCTTTGTTCCACGTAAAGCCAGACATGTAAAATTTCACATCTATGGCTTGTTATTCTATTTTAACAAACATTTTAAAGGGTTTCTGTTCTATTATAAATAAACATCGAAAATGTTTAAGCCCTTTCATTGAGCTATGCATATTTAAAAGAGATTTGATGCATTTGCTACGCAAGCGAATTTTGAAATTGTGTATGCAAATAAAAGATCATTATTTTTTCTCTTAGTAGCCATGCATTTACAAATAAAACAATTAATTGAATTCGATTAGATGCTTAGCGACTCTAATTGGCTTTGTACGTAGGCTTATATTCGACTTTGTCGATGACATATTTCTTCAAGAAAAACCATCAATTCAGCCCTCCTAAAGGAGTGATATATGAATGAAAAAAGCCTATAAAAAATCACTCTTCCCATTCTCCAAGACAAGCAGGTGTTCACAAGAAATTTCAACAAAACAAGATGAAATATCATTCAATTGTTGTTGTATTGGCCGTTCTGGCCTCTACTAGTATGGGTGGTAAGTTTATTTGATAAAACATAAATGAACTTGGCTTGTACAGTATCTCAATTTCTTTTTTCACCTGTGTTTTAATAGCTACTTTCAAGAGAAAAGCTGATGCCGAGGCCAATCACGAAAAGCGTGATGCCGAACCATACTACTACTATTACAAACGTGACGCCGACGCATCCCCCGAACCATACTACTATTATTACAAACGTGATGCCGATGCATCCCCCGAACCATACTACTATTATTACAAACGTAATGCCGAGGCTAACCATGAAAAACGTGATGCGAACCAAGAAAAGCGTGACGTCAAAAAATGGAAGCGTGAAGCCAACAAAGAGAAGCGTGATGCTGAACCATACTATTACTATTACAAACGTAACGCTGACGCATCCCCCGAACCATACTATTATTATTACAAACGTAGCGCCGATGCATCCCCCGAACCATACTACTACTACTACTAGTGAAATGCCTCTTCCAAATTATTTTTTAGACATCGATTCTTCAAAATTTGTAAATAAATTCCTTTTATAGAATTTATTATTTTCTATTATTATTCTGATATATTTGAAACAATAAATAAATAATTCACAGGCTCAACTTTATTTATGCACATAGCTATAAATATTTTTCGGAATTACGAGTTTAAAATTGGTTTTAGACTATATAATAAAAAACTTGCATGCAGTTGAGCGCAATAAGAATATTTTAAAGGCAGTTTTTAAAGATTATACAATTTATTTTATTAATTATATCGCCTTTTGCATATTAATTAAAGCAAAAAAATTGCCTTTTTTTCAAATATATTTAACTTAATAAAGAATTATTTAAATTAAATTAAACTTAAAATATAAATACTTAAATACCCAAAAATTAATTTTACTTAAGACTATTTTATAAATTTATTATTATTATTATTTTATATTTTTATTTTAATTAAAAAATTTTATTTTATTTTATTTTTTTTTTAATACCCATGGTCAGGCCAGTACTGTGTGTTTATTAATCATTAAGAAAACTGATTGAGATACATAGGGCAATTGCATCATGGCTAAACTAAAATCTTGTACTGACACACTTGTCAATGGCTTTCAATTCTCAAAAGAGCTTCAGCCTCTAAGTGCAATCTTGAGAACAATATTTCACTCTGAACTAAGTTTTGGATAAAGATCCTCCTAACTTATCCATTATTGCTAGTAGGTTGTTACTGTTTATTATCCTTTAAGGAACTGAATTCGAGAAACTACAAAAGGGGAAAGGAAAAATAAAAGGAAAGGGGAATATCTAAAAGTATATAAACACTTCCATAGTTTCTATTTAATATTTTTATATTACATTCAACTCTTGAAGCTATCTCCTGAAAACCTCACAAGTTTACTCAGTAACTATATAGTATATTTTATTCATACCTCCTGTTTGTATCTATACGTATAAACTACTTCTCTATACTATGTATACATTAAATAAGCACTATATACATCAACTATTCTTTAGTATCTATCTATATATGGCTAGTTATATTGATTATACTATATATATAAGCACTATCTATTCAAGAAACTGTGTGATTTCTTCTTGATTATTCCCAGCCCAGTTTTATTAAGAGTAGACTGGTTATCAGGCCATCGAATTTTCTTTATCCTGGATCTGGTTTTTAGATCCTTTGGAGTGATTAGTGGATTTCTTTTCACACCAAGGCCTTCCAATAGTGTTAACTATGGAAGTGCTCATAGCCTAGTACGTGATAATCAGTGATACCCTATCAGTCGATTAGATCTACTCTTTTTATTATCTTTTCTTAACTTACCACTAGAGATAATGTGATCAAGTCAGGATAATTTTAGCTGATTTTGGATCTTGATCTTCATATCACAATCTTTATATAGACCATACCATGAGTGACATTAATCCCCTTCTGATTGTTATGTGGCTATATATAGAAATATCAGAAATCTGTTTTTACTTAATTAAACCAATGAATATAAGTTCTATCAAACTTCAGGCATTGCCCTTAAAAGATCTGAACTTGCATTTTGCGATCTGACCTATGGAGTGCTAACCATGCACTATTGACCCATAGGTCTTGAAAAATATCTCTTCAGAATGTCAACTATAATTATATATATTTATTTTTCTTTTAGTAGGGTTTCTGAATCAGTTTAATTTTATTCAAGTGAATAACCTTTGTTTTTTAATTATATTTGTTAATTTATTCTAATATTTGACAACATTCTTAGACTTTTGTTCAATAAGTAACTATATACTTTTAATTTTTTGTACCCTTTTTTAATTATTTGTTAAAAATTAATACTTAAAAATAGTATAAATATAGAATATTATTAGTCAACAACTCTTTTTGTTGATTTTCTTTTTTTTTGATAATTTTTTTAATAATTTTTTTGAAAAAAAAAAGCTAGTTTAAAAAATACTTTATCTCTTTAAAATTTAAGACTTAACAACAAACTATAACACTTAGTCACTTTCTAAAAGATATCTTTATTAATCAAAAGAAGTGTAAATATATAATATTACTTCAACTTTACTTTATAAGAAAAGAAATACATATATAAGCTAATTCACAATAAGCTTAGAAGAGTCCAGTATCAATTTTTCAAGTTTCTAGCTAGGCTGGTATCAGTTTATACCTTTTTAAGTACCATAAGATACTTTATAAACAGTAGTTCCTATTAATAAATCAAGAAAAACTCAAAGTTTACAAAACTCAGAAGAACATCAAAGGTTTTTACAAACTAAACAATAGAGTATTCTAATTTTATATACATTTAACTAAATAACAAAACTAGTAACACAAATATTTATGTATCAACTAGTACAGTATCAAAACAATATAGCAAGATTTATTAAAAGTTATAAACAAAATAGATTATTTTATCAAGAATAAAAAAACTCTTTCTTCTGATTCACATTTTTTCAAAAAAAATTTTTTTTTAATAATTTTCTTGAAAAATTCACAAAAATCCTTCTATACAAGAACAAGCCTCAGAGAATACAACCAAACACTTCCAGGTAACAAAATCTACTTTGTAATAACAAAAAAAAAGATTTGCTTAACTTAAAAGACAAATATTCCTAGATTAATTTTGTTTTTAGGAAGGAGAAAAAACAAAAATAAGCAGATTTACAGTAGGTTTCTTGAGACCCAATCTCAACCCTACAAAGCTCTTGGTTAGGCTAGTACAGATTAATATCTTTTTAGGTACTAAGATAAGTCTTAGAAACAATAGATTATATAAATAAATCAATACAATCTCAAAACTAACTGAAATCCAGGAGGATGTTCAAGTCTCTTTGATCAAATAGCTAAAAGATTACAACAACACAACAATCCCATATCAATTAATTTACATTACATGAACATGAACATGTTAACTTTTTACCTACTTAATATGTATCAAAGCAAACTAATCAATCTATTGACAAAATAGTCGAATATGATAGATTAACAAATTAGAACATGTGTAATAAACCAGCATATGTTATCTAAAGCAAGATTAACAGTTGATCACAGCTAGTTATGTATTAATAAACAAATACTAGATATACAAATACATAGAGCCACATGTTATAGATTTTTTAATATCAATATAGTAACTTATTACTATATACACCAAACAGAAAAATAATATATAATAGTATTTATCTAATCACATGGTTAAAAACTAATGCTTATATAAAAAAACTCTTTCCGCTGATCCACATTTTTTCAAAAAATTTCTTTTTTTGGTAATTTTCTTGAAAAAATCACAAAAACTCTTTCACACAAAACAAGCCTCAAAGGACACAACTATCCATTCCTAGGCAACAAAATCTACATTACAACAAACAAGAAAAGA